AGACGAATAGTAGGTAGGTTAGGTATTGACAGTGTTTAGGTATCGTACCCCATTTGACCACCCCAACCCACTACAATTAATCCAAGGCATTTAAAATTGCCCCTAGAACATTAAAATCATACACAGTACACACATTACACTGGGACCCCGAGTTTCGGCCATAATTCCGTTCCCAGAGCTGGCTAAACACAAAAAGGCACGAAGCTATAATTCCCATAAGAAATATGTATATACAATACACCATTCCAACCCACAAAAATATTCACAAAAAATACATTTTTTAAAGATAACTATAGTTTTACTTTACACACGATAAATACATCAATACAGTGGACCCCCGGCTTACGATAATTATTCACTCCAGAAGTATGTTTCAGGTGCCATTACTGAATGAATTTGTCTCCATAAGGAATATTGTGAATTTGATTATCCATATCAGACCCCCAAACATACACGTACAAACGCACTTAACATAAATACACTAACGTCTTGGTCACATTGGGAGCTGATCGTAAAGCGGGGGTCCACTGTACATGTATATTATACAATACATAAAATTTAAATAAATGTTTTAAAATAACATTTACTTACCTTTATTGAAGAGACTTTGCTGGCATCTGGAAGATAGGGAGGACATATTGTTCGGAAGGGGAAATCCCCCTTCATGAAGACTTTTAGGTAACAAGTCCCTTATCTGGGGTTCTTCCCCATCTTTTAAGGCTACTAGGAACCAGCTTGAGAGTCCAACATGGACCCCTGTTGCACAAAACTGTCCAAGAGGTGCCTCTGTTTCTTCTGGCATCTTCTTTAAGATTTCCCTGAAGTGGACAAAGGTTTTTCCACTAACATGTTTGCAGATATGGCTTTTTCAGCTTGGTTCAGGGTGATACTTTTCAACAAAAGTTGCAAATCATTCCACTTCGCACACATGTCCTTAATCACTGAAGAAGGCACCTGCTTTCACCTCCCTTCCTCCTCTTCCTCCTCCTCCCTCCTCCTCCGTCCTCCTCTGAAGCAAAGTTCCTCAGCTGTGTCTGATGCTGTTTCCATTTGAAGCTCTGTGCAGTACATCAGTGGGTAGCTGCTTCCCTTGTCCTCCACCAACTCTCCACATCCTCGTCCACTCTCTGCCTCCAACCCAACGATACTTGCCAAATGCCACAATACCTTCCACAACAGGCAGAGAGTCATCAGGGTAAGGGTCAACCTCAAAACCCTTCAGAAAACCCCCGAACTATACATTGTGGCCACAGTTGTCTCCAATCAGATCAAAGTCCTGGAAGGTCCACTCCCTCCCAAGCCTTACCCTATAAGTGATTGGGCAATGGAGGTTACTGAAGTGCTTCCTCCAGAAACTCTTAGGGTTGACTGAGTGTCTGAGGTCCCCTTCAAAGCACCTTCAACTCTGCTTTGGTGTAGAGTTTTTGGAAGTTAGAAATACCTGCAGGTCCATGGGCTGGAGGAGAGGAGTGTGTTAGGAGGCAAGAACTTCAACTTTGAAGAAACTGAAGCTAGACAATAGGTCTACCAAGTTTGGAGGATGAGCAGAGCATGTCCATTACCATGAGACACTTGAGAGGCAAATTGTTTTCAGGGGGTATTTTTTCACACTAGCCAAACACATCAATGGACCCACTCTGAAAATTTTGCCTCGTGACTCCATGCCTTATTATTTGCTTTCCACAAACACAGTTTTTATTTTTGATGATATTTTTTTCCTTTGAACACACTCTTTGATTTTTCCTGAGTGATATACACATTAAAATCCCCACTAGCAATTAACACAGAACAAAGAGTTAGCCTGATTTTCATAGGCTAGTGTCCCTGGCAGTACCTTTTCCTCCTGAATAATGTAGGTTCCTCTTTGGCCATTTTCTTCCGAAACAGGCCTGTTTCGTCCAATTGAAACACATTGTTGTGGTTTGAAATTTTTTCAGTCTCTTCGCATCCCTTAAATTCACCGTCACAAAGTTTTCAGCCGCACGTTTTGTCTGAACATGCTTATATATTATGTAGCATGTTTATTATATGATTTTGAAAAAATATTATAGATGGGTTAATGGAGATGTCTATATTAACATAATATACGACATTTAATGCGCCAAGAGATTATTATATGGTGTTGAGTAGCGAGACTCTTAGTGATTTTAATGTGTACCTGCATGTCAGCACAGTGTATAAGTATATTTAGGTGCAGGTACACATAAGTATAATTATCAGAGTACATACATATAAAATACTCAATAACTTTAAAACACTTGAAATTTTGGAAAATTTCCAGACATAATAGAGAGATGTGCTCACAGAGAATGTAAACAAACTGGGTGGGGTGCACTGTATTTGAAAGACCGCTTGCCGTTTAGCAAATTTTGGTCATAATTTGAAATTGCTGTATTAGCAGAATGCCGTAAGGCGGGGCCCTACTGTAGTTTAATCCTGTTTAACCTATCTAAAATTGGCCCAAATTTAGTGGCTGTTAACATCAGTGAAATGTAATTTTGTGATATGGCTGATATTTAAAGAGGTATAGAACATGAATATAACTTACCATGTTTGGCAAAATTATTTTGACAGAAAAGCAAAGCTGGCAAGTTTGAGCTATAAAAGTATGACATACGTACCTGCATAAATTCAATATACATAGTATACAGTAAAAAAATTTAGCTGTAGCTTACTTTTATTAATTTCCAAATATGTGACAAGCAGCGTTTCATAAAACTAAGAAACGGGTTGGCAGATTGTACAGTGGACCCCCGCTTTACGATCAGCTCCCAATGCGACCAATTATGTAAGTGTATTTATGTAAGTGCGTTTGTACGTGTATGTTTGGGGGTCTGAAATGGACTAATCTAATTCACAATATTCCTTATGGGAACAAATTCGTTCAGTACTGGCACCTGAACATACTTCTGGAATAAAATAATATCATAAACCGGGGGTCCACTGCATTTAAGATTGTAAATGGAATGCAAGTGTAGATTTAATATTGTGGGAAATGCTTTTAGCTATCTGATATAGTATTATATAAATGGTTTAGGAAACAGATAAGTTGATGAATGAGATACTTGTGCAACACTTGGGTTTCTTTATTGTAGAGACGTTTCTCCAACCAGTGGCTTTGTCAGTTCAACACAGAGAAAAAAACGAGGAAGATGTAAAGGAGTTTGAGGTACCAGCTCTTCAGCCTGGAGATGGTGTTAAGTTTATCAGTTTTGATAGAAGTACAGCCCATCAGTCTTGATAAATATACATTATATGAAAGGAGAAGGGGTTTATATACTGGAGACAGCTTAGGTGAAGCAGTTGGAGGCAGCTTGGCATGGTCTACATCCACTAGTGGATTCTGTCCACTAGTGATGCCACCTCTTAACTGCTTCACCTTGCCTGTTTCCACTATACAAGCCCCTCTTCCGAGCATATGGCATATTTTTATCAAGTTGATGGACTAAACTCTTCATCCAAGGCTGAAGCACTGATTACCTCAAACTCCTTCACATCTTCCACAGTTTTTTTTTTTCCTCTGTATTGGACTGATGAAGCCACTGGCTGGGAAATTGTTTCTACAGTAAAGGTACCCACATGTTGCATGAATGTCGTGTTCATCAAATACATTTCCTAAAGACATGCTTACTCTCAGTTTGTTGTTTTTGCATCTGTTGCAGAGGGCTTGATTAAACACTTCATCCCAAAGAAAACATTTTATAAACATTTGCATATATTTCCTAGACTTGCTCAGTACACCATGTTAACTTCAAGTTACAGCACATCTTAACCATTGTTATATATTATTATTAGTATTTTGTTTTCAGTGTTAGTATTATAACTGAAAAGATCCTGATCCACCAATTATGTCATATCACTGAATGTTACCGAACAAATTAGCACTTTTCAGAACAAAGTTGAAGCTTAAGCATATTTCGCTGTAGCAGTAGAATTGGTGCTAGAGTTGATGAATCACAGCTTCATTTGATTCAGTGATTTCCACTGATCATGGCAAATGTCTCACGAAAATTTTAGAAGCTTTTTGTACACTTTTTTTTTTTCCACAATTGGAAAGTAGTACAGGCTTGTTATATATAAATCATACACAGTATTGTTGGGAACTGGAATGTATTCAAATCCAGATTGGGCTTATTGTAATGTACAAGCATACTAAAGACTGATCAAGTGCACAAGATGTCCACATGGGTAAAATAAAGCAGAATACAGTACTCTGTATTTCAGCCTATTGCAGTCAGTCTGCTGAAGAGGGCCTTGGAAGTAGGCTGAAATACTGTATACCCTACTCATCAGTTTTATTTTATTAATTTGGGTTTATTTATGCCATATTTTGATAGTTTATTTTTCTTGAAGATTACTGTACTCGATGTTAATATATGCTACTATACTTTTTTTTTTTTTTTTTTGTTCTTTCCAAATATTGACTTTTTTAATATACAGTACAGTAAATAGTGTATGTTCTTCAGCATAAGTGTTACAGTACTGAAAATGTTTTTATAAGATTTTAATTTGTTTTGAAACATTGTTTATTTCTGTGCATGAGCAGTGATGAATCTGTGGACTTTGCTGATGTTCATTGTGACTGGATCTTTTGATACTCATGCTAGAACATAAATATTGTAATTTAAGTAATTCGTGTGTACTCAAATTTTGTTTGGCAAAATTTGAGTATTTTGAGTAAGTTAAGCGATATGGCTTGACTTCATGCTGGATGGGGTGGTGTACTGCAGCAGATAGACATAGGTCATTGTACAAAATTTTAATTATACTTTCAGCTGAGAACCATTTTAATCATAAACACTTCATAGGGGTCAAAAATTGTTAAATTTAATGTGGTGTTGGTATAAAATACAAAGTTAATGCTTTTCCTTAAATTTATATAATTTATTGTACTGTATTATATGACTGCACTGTTGATCATGAAGTCTAGCTACTGAAAAGTGTGATGTCATGGATAACTTTGGATTAGAATAGTACAGTCTTCTCTGGATCATTGACAGGTGACTTTACCTTGACACAAATGTTTGAGATCCTACGCAACAAGGAATCTGGAATTTGTCGTGGCTTAGATCACGATCATCCTACTGCTGGTAGTATGGTGAGTTTTAAGAGAGAGCTTGTGAATGCTGTTTTAGATCTCATAAATGAACTATGTACATATATACTGTACATAAGATGGAAGTGTACCTTACTCTCATAATGAGAATTTAAGCTTGAAGTAGGTGGTGCCACCTTCAAGAGAGGTAGGTGCCTTGATGCTAGTGAAGGGCTCTTGATCCAAAGAACTGGAGCTACCCTCCCTTACCTTGGACTTACTCTGATGACTTCCCATTCCCCAAGGCACTATATGACCCCTATGGGTTTAGCACTCCCCCATGAGCTAAAAATCCATATGGTGCTTGTATATCGGTGATGGATTCTATCCAAGGACTTGGAGCTACACTTCCTTGGATCAAACCTGATTTTATCTTGTTCTTTAGGTGCAAAAGATAGGAGGTGCTGTGTATGTAGTAGTTACCCCATGAATATAATAGCCATATGAACTTCATTTGTTCTAACGTTGCAATATCTTGCATGGTACATGAAAGTTTTTGTAGTATCCCATTTTTATTAAGAATATTTACAAGATAAAAAACTACTACATTAGGTTTTATCATACTGCATTTTGTTATTCAACTTTCGACAAACTTATTTTCTACATAAAAAATCTTCATTAAAGTCATATTTTTATGTAAATTTTTATGCACCCACCCCTGCACTGATAGAAATTTAACATTTAGAATTTTTTTTTTTTGTGTTAGGCCCTAGAAGTATGGAAAGAATGAGGAGAGAAAAGACCTGGGATAGGATAGAGCAGTAGAAAAAGTTATGGATACACAGGGAAAGGGCTTTACCATTTAGGGTTGTTTTTGTCAGGGTGACTGTGTGGCATATAGATTAGCCATGCTCACTTTAACTTTGTTGTGACACTGGTGTATATTACTGATAGTCAACATCAAAGGCCCTCTGATTACTTTTAATTACTGTTATTCAGTAAATTACTACTGCACTCTTAAAAATATTCTGCAAGTATGAAGAGACTTGTATATTTTTCAGTGAAATTATAACAAGTCTTCTTTATCTGAATTCAACAGCTGATTTGTAATTATTAGTGTGTGTGTGCGCGTGCATGCCTGCTGTATGTTTATGTATGTGGGCATGCTTTCTATATGCCTATGTATGTGGACATGCATGTGCATATGCTAAATTCCTGGGTATATGATAGCCAAAAATATATGTATTATAGTTATTTTAATACCTTCCAGCTTGTATGGTGTTCTTTGATCTTTTATAGGTGTCTGTCATCAGTCATGGTTCTGGACGACCCAGTTGCCATTGGTTCACCGGAACACCTGATCCTCAGCGTTCAGTGTTTAAGCCATTCATCTTCACCAACAATGTCAAGATCTCTCCACATATCCAGAGCCCCAAGATTCCTGATGAGGAGGATCCTGCAAAGGCAAGACCTTAGCTGTAATATTTTTATGCACAAAATAAGCATATGAATGCTTGTGTGTTTATACACCCACATTTAGAAGAACAGCATTTAGGTGTTTTTGGTATTCATATTTATAGTCACATGTTTCATAGTGATTTCTTCCCAACACCTCAAATATAATCTTACTCTACTCTTGTCTGATCAACACATTTGGCTAGGCCTTCAAGGATGAGGGAAGGAAGGACAATATACAGTGGAACCTCTACTTGCGAGTTTAATCCGTTCCATGACCTTGCTCACAACTGGATTTGCTCATTTGCAGAATCAATTTTCCTCATTTAAATTAATTGAAATGCAATTAATCCGTTCCAGTGGAATTCTGTACTTCATTAATTTCGCTAATATCAATTCTACGGCTTATTTATCTATCTCACTTCATCTAATATGACATAATAAACAATATAAATAACATAGAAACCTGATATATACTCTAGAATGAATAAAATATGTCATTCATGTAGTGGTATGGGCGGTGTCGGCGGTGGACGAGAGTTTGTCTGGACACCGGGCAAAATTCTTCATGAATAATTTCGCTAATATCATCTATACTGCTTATTTATCTATCACAGTTCATCTAGTATGACATAACAAACAATATGAATAAAATAGAAACATAATATATACTCTAGAATGAATAAAATATGTCATTCATGTAGTGGTATGGGCGGTGTCGGCCGTGGGCGAGAGTTTGTCTGGACACCGGGCAAAATTCTTCATGAATAATTTCGCTAATATCATCTATACGGCTTATACAGTGGACCCTCGACCAACAATGGCATTGTCTAACGTTAAATCCGACTAGCGATACATTTTAACGCAAAAATTTTGCCTTGACTAGCGCTAAAAAACTCGACCAACACGATTTGTTCCGTCTGAGACGCGTCCACTTATGGCCAGTGTTTACAAGCCAGCCAGCCACCGTGGTCCCATCCAAACATACAATCGGAACATTTCATAGTATCACAACGTTTTTAGTGATTGCACCTGCAAAATAAGTCACCATGGGCTCCAAGAAAGCTTCTAGTGCCCAACCCTACAGAAAAAAAGGGTGAGAATTACTGTGGATATGAAGAAAGAGATCATTGCAAGTATGAAGTGGAGTGTGTGCCCTCCGAGCTGGCCAGGTTGTACACAAAACCCCAATCAAACCAAATCGCTACTATTGTGGCCAAGAAAATGGCAATCAAGGAAGCTGTTCTTGCCAAGGTGCAACTATGTTTTCGAAACTGAGATCGCAAAGTGATAGAAGATGTTGAGAGATTGTTATTTGGTGTGGATAAATGAAAAACAGATAGCAGGAGATAGCATCTCTCAAGGATCATATGTGAAAAGGCTAGGAAGTTGCATGAGAATTTAATTAGAAAAAATGCCTGCAACTAGTGGTGGATGTGAGTGAATTAAAGGCCAGCAAAGGTTGGTTTGAGAGATTTAAGAATCGTAGTGCCACTACATAGTGTGATAAGGCATGGCAGGCTACCAGTTTGGACCAAAAAGCAGCTAAAAAAAATTGTGCAGGAATTCAAGGATTTACATGACAGGAAAAAATTGAAACCTGAACAAGTGTTTAATTGTGACAAAAACAATGTTGTGAAACACTTTAGGAATGTCATAAAGGAACGGGAGTACAGGCCTCTATGGACGATTGTTGTGCGACAGAGGTCCGTGACTCTCAAGCTGGTCCTAGTGGCTTTAAAGAAGAAGGGAAGTAACCCCGGAAAAGGACTTGACACCTCAAGTCCTAATGGAAGAGGATTCCCCTTCTAAACACTAACACCATCCACAGTCTCCCCTCCTCCCATCCCATCAATCATCACCAGATCTTCAATAAAGGTAAGTGTCATGTAATTGTACATGTCTTCTTCAGTTTGTGTGTTTTAAAATTAATATTTCATGTGGTAAAAATTTCTTTTTTTTTAATACTTTTGGGGTGTCTTGCACGGATTAATTTGATTTCCATTATTTCTTGTGGGGAAAATTAACTCGACTAATGATAATTTCGATTAACGATGAGCTCTTGGGAACGGATTAATATCATTGGTCAAGGGTCCACTGTATATCACAGTTCATCTAATATGACATAACAGACAATATAAATAACATAGAAACACGATATATACTCTAGAATGAATAAAATATGTCATTATGTAACAGATGGAGGCGGCCACAACCGCTCCCTCTTTGTGGTAAACACTGCCATCTAGTGACGGCCTTTTGAAGCCGTTTATTATTATAATTATTATATGTAGTGCATTATTATTATACATATTATATTATTATTATACATATTGTTATTACACCTACCATCCGACTTACGACCACTCGACTTACGGCTGTGTTTTTTATGCCAAATTTCTGGGAAATAAACAACTATTTGTGTTGTACACAGTGTTTATCCTAAACCTTAGAGTATAAAATACAGTACTAACAGCATAAAAAGTAAAGTAAAACATGAAATACCAAAATAAAACAATAAAATAAAGTCATTACAAAAATGCTTTGTTGATATTCAGTAGTAAAGTTCGACTTAGGACCATTTCGACTTACCACCGGTTTTTCGGAACCGAACTCGGTCGTAAGTCGGATGGTAGGTGTATTCATATTAGGTAGTAGGTTGGTAGACAGCAACCACCCAGGGAGGTACTACCGTCCTGCCAAGTGAGTGTAAAATGAAAGCCTGTGATTGTTTTACATGATGGTAGGATTGCTGATGTCTTTTGTCTGTCTCATAAATATGCAAGATTACAGGCATGTCTTGCTACTTCTACTTAGGTCACACTATACATACATGTACACATTTATTTATACACACTCATCTGAGTTTTCTTTGATTTTTATCTTAATAGTTCTTGGTCTTATTAATTTTCCTTTTATATCCATGGGAAGTGGAATAAGAATCTTTCCTTCGTAAGCCATGCGTGTTGTAAAAGTCAACTAAAATGCCCGGGAACAATGGGCTAGTAACCCCTTTTCCCGTAAAGATTACTAAAAAAATAAGAAGAGAAAAATTGTCAAAATAGGAAGTCTGAATGTGCGTGGTGTTGTGCAGATGATAGAAAGAGATGATTGTGGATTATGAAAGAGAAGAATGGTTGCCTGGCTTTAAGTGAAAAAAGCTGAAGGGGGTGGGAGATTTCAGTGGAGAGGAATAAATGGGATTAGGTCAGGGGTTTCAAATAGAGTTAGAGCTAAAGAAGGGTAGCAATAATGTTGAAGGTAAGCTATGGCAGGGAAAAGAGGGACTATAAATGTATTAATTCAAGGATTATGTGGAAATAAATAAAGATTGGATGTGAAAAGTGGGTATAATAAGCGTGTATGCACCTGGAGAAGAGAGAAGTGTAGAGGAGAGAGAGAGATTTTGGGAAATGTTGAGTGAATGTGTGGGGAGTTTTGAATCAAGTGTGAGAGTAATGGTTGGTTGGGGATTTCAAAGCTAAAGTGGGTAAAAATGTTATGGAGGGAGTAGTAGGTAAATTTGGGGTGCCAGGGGTAAAAGTTTAAAAGGGGAGCCTTTAATTGAGTGTGGTTTTAGAAAGAATTTTGGTAATAAGTAATACATATTTTATGAAAAAGAGGATAAATAAAATATACAAGGTATGATGTAGCACGTAATGAAAGTAGTTTATTAGATTATGTATTGGTGGATAAAAGGTTGATGGGTAGGCTCCAGGATGTACATTTTATAGAGGGCAACTGATATATCGGATCATTATTTAGTTGTAGCTACAGTTAAATTAAGAGGTAGATGGGAAAAGAGGAAGGTGGCAACAACAAGTAAGAGGGGGTGAAAGTGTATAAACTAAAGGGAGGAGGAAGTTCGGGTGAGATATAAGGCACTATTGGGAGAAAGGTGGGCTAGTGCAAAGATGGTAGTGGGGGGGTTGAAGAGGGTTGGAATAGTTTTAAAAATGCAGTATTAGAATGTGGGGCAGAAGTTTGTGGTTATAGGAGGGTGGGGGCAGGAGGAAAGAGAGGAGTGATTTTGGGGGAATGATGAAGTAAAGGGTGTGGGTAAAAGAGAAAAGGTAGCTTATGAGAGGTTTTTACAAAGCGAAATGTTATAAGAAGAGCAGAGTATATGGAGAGTAAAAGAAAGGTAAAGAGAGTGGTGAGAGAGTGCAAAAGGAGAGCAGATGATAGGTGGGAGAGGCACTGTCAAGAAATTTTAATGAAAATAAGAAAAAATTTTGGGGGTGAGTTAAACAAGTTAAGAAAGCCTAGGAAAATATGGATTTGTCAGTTAAAAACAGGGGTAGGGGACTTAGTAGATGGGGAGATGGAGGTATTGGGTAGATGGCGAGAATATTTTGAGGAAAATTTAAATGTTAAGGAAGAAACAGAGGCAGTAAAATTTTATTTCACTGGTCAGGGAGGTATACCATCTTTTAGGAGTGAAGAAGAGCAGAATGTAAGGTTTTGGGGGAGGTAGTGAGGGATTACGTAAAATGAAAGGGGGTAAAGCAGCTGGAACTGATGGGATCATGACAGAAATGTTAAAAGCAGGTACTTTTTTTTAATAAAAGTTATTTAAAGAGGGGAAAAGGGACCTAGGGATTGGCGGAGAGCATGTATAGTCCCTTTATATAAAGGGAAAGGGACAAAAGAGAAATGTAAAAATTAAGAGGAATAAGCTTTTTTTGAGTATACCAGGAAAAGTGTACGGTTTTGGGTTTATAATTGAAAGAATTAGAGGTAAGCAGAATGTAGGATTGCGGAATGAGCAAGGAGGTTTCAGAGTGGGTAGGGGAGGTGTAGATCAGTGTTTACATTGAAGCATATTGTGAACAGTATTTAGATAAAGGTAGGGAAGTTTTTATTGCATTTATGGATTTAGAAAAAGGCATATGATAGAGTGGATAGAGGAGCAATGGGGCAGATGTTGCAAGTATATGGAATAGGTGGTAAGTTATTAAATGCTGTAAAGAGTTTTTATTTAGGATAGTGAGGCTCGGTTAGGGTTTTTGAGGGAGACACTTCCCGGTTAAAAGTAGGTCTTAGACAGGGATGTGTAATGTCCCATGGTTGTTTAATATATTTATAGATGGGGTTGTAAAGGAAGTAAATGCTAGGGTGTTTGGGAGAGGGGTGGGATTAAATTTTGGGGAATCAAATTCAAAATGGGAATTGACCAAATTTCTTTTTGCTGATGATACTGTGCTTATGGGAGATTCTAAAGAAAAATTGCAAAGGTTAGTGGATGAGTTTGGGAATGTGTTTAAAGGTAGAAAGTTGAAAGTGAACATAGAAAAGAGTAAGGTGATGAGGGTGTCAAATGATTTAGATAAAGAAAATTGGATATCAAATGGGGGGGGAGGAGTATGGAAGAAGTGAATGTTTCAGATACTTGGGAGTTGACGTGTCGGCGGATGGATTTATGAAGGATGAGGTTAATCATAGAAATTTATGAGGGAAAAAAGGTGATGGGTGCGTTGAGGTATATGTGGAGTCAAAAACGTTATCTATGGGGGGCAAAGAAGGGAATGTATGAAAGTATAGTAGTACCAACACTCTTATATGGGGTGTGAAGCTTGGGTGGTAAATGCAGTAGCGAGGAGGAACGTTGGAGGCAGTGGAGATGTCTGTTTAAGGGCAATGTGTGGTGTAAAATATTATGCAGAAAATTTGGAGTGTGGAAATTAGGGAAGGTGTGGAGGGAATAAAAGTATTATTCAGAGGGCAGAAGAGGGGTTGTTGAGGTGGTTTGGTCATTTGAGAGAATGGGGGTCAAAGTAGAATGACATGGAAAGCAAAATAAAATCTATAGGGGAAGGAAAGGCGGGGTAGGGGTCGTCCTCGAAAGGGTTGGAGAGAGGGGGGTAAAGGAGGTTTTGGGGCAAGGGGCTTGGACTTCCAGCAAAGCGTGCGTGAGCGTGTTAGATAGGAGTGAATGGAGACGAATGGTACTTGGGACCTGACGTTGTTGGAGTGTGAGCAGGGTAAAATTTAGTGAAGGATTCAGGGAAAACCCGGGTTTTTTTCATATAGTCGGACTTGAGTCCTGGAAATGGGAAGTACAATGCCTGCACTTTAAAGGAGGGGTTTGGGATATTGGCAGTTTTTTGGGGGGATATGTTGTGTATCTTTATATGTGTATGCTTCTAGATGTTGTATTTGAGCACCTCTGCAAAACAGGATAATGTGCAAGTGTGGTGAAGTGTTGAATGATGATGAAAGTATTTTTTTTTGGGGATTTTTTTTCTTTTTTGGGTCACCCTGCCTCGGTGGGAGACGACCGACTTGGGTGGAAAAAAAAAAAATTATTTTTAAATTTTTTTTTTATCACACTGGCCGATTCCCCAAGGTAGGGGGCCCGAAAAAAAAGAAAAACTTTAAACCATCATTCACTCCATCACGGTTTGCCAGGGGGGTTTGCCTTAAAAACTACAGTTTTTTAAACCCTGAAAACATTAACACCCCTCCTTCAGAGTGCAGGCATGAAATTTCCCACTCCAAACTCGTCCCGGCCCCCTCCCCATTTTTCCCCCTAAACCCCCTTTCATAAAAAATTACTTTGCTCCCCACTCCAACAGCCGTCAAGTTTTAAAAACCTTTTGCCCTCCATTCCTCCTATCAAACACGCAAAAGCATGCCCGCTGGAAAGCCCCAACCCCCTCGACACAAAAACCCCTTTACCCCCTCCCTCCAACCTTTCCTAACCGCCCCCTCCCCTGCCTTTTTTTCCATTTCCGGATGTTTACACTCTTAAAAAGTCCCCTGTTTCGCTCCATTCCTCTAAATGCTGAGCCACCTAACAAACCCCTTTTCCTCCCCCCTTTCTGGAAAACCCATTTTTTTTAGTAATCCCCCCAACCTCCTCCAAACCCCCGGAAAAATGACATTTTCCAACTGCCCCCCAACCCTTCCCCTTGGCTGAAAATTTTTCTCCCCCCATGTTTCACCCCATAAAAGAGCTTTGGTAAACTATTTTTCTCATACATTCCCCTCTTTGCCCCCAAAGGGGCCCAAAGTTTTTTTTGTCTCCACAGACCCCTTTAATTGACCACCTCAAACCCCTTTTCCCCCCATTAATTCTATTATTCACCTCATCTTTCATAGACCTATCCACTCCCAAATATCTGAATACATTTACCTCCTCCATACTCTCTCCCTCCAATCTGATATCCAATCTTTCATCACCTAATCTTTTTGTTATCCTCATAAACCTTACTTTTCCTGTATTCACTTTTAATTTTCTTCTTTTGCACACCCTACCAAATTCATCCACCTATCACTGCAACTTCTCTTCAGAATCTCCCAAGAGCACAGTGTCATCAGCAAGAGCAACTGTGACAACTCCCACTTTGTATGTGATTCTTTATCTTTTAACTCCACGCCTCTTGCCAAGACCCTCGCATTTCTCTTACAATCCCATCTATAAATATATTAAACATCCATGGTGACATCACACATCCTTGTCTAAGGCCTACTTTTACTGGGAAATAATTTCCCTCTTTCCTACATACTCTAACTTGAGCCTCACTATCCTTGTAAAAACTCTTCACTGCTTTCAGTAACCTACCTCCTACACCATACACCTGCAACATCTGCCACATTATTATCGTTATTATTATTATTATTATTATTATTATTATTATTATTATATAAATTATTTGTAATTTTTATTCACACAAAAAATATAAGATTTACTGTTATTCCTTATTGCAATAATTGTATAATTTTTTTTTTTTTTTTCAACAAGTCGGCCGTCTCCCACCGAGGCAGGGTGACCCAAAAAAGAAAGAAAATCCCCGAAAAGAAAATACTTTCATCATCATTCAACACTTTCACCACACTCGCACATTATCACTGTTTTTGCAGAGGTGCTCAGAATACAACAGTCTAGAAGCATACACATATAAAGATACACAACATATCCCTCCAAAGTGCCAACCAATTCACGACTGCATATTGGAATGGACAGTGACGTCATTCGTTTACACTGAAACAGCCAAGCAATGGACCATTTCTCCTAGGTTGAGCTCTTTCAAGGCACTTTTCGTCATGAAAGCAATCAAAATCATATCTATTTCTGTAATATATCTTCCATTCTATCAAATGAGACCAAAAAAACGAGAATACAACCATAAATCCATACGAAAATACCACTAAGGGGTGACTAATTGCTGAGAAGTGAGCTCCATTATTTATGCTTAGATTTCTTTCATCATCATTATTATTATATAAATAATTTGTAATTTTTATTCACAAAAAAATATAAGATTTACTGTGACGTCATTTGTTTACACTGAAACAGCCAAGCAATGGACCATTTCTCCTAGGTCGTGCTCTATTTCAAGGTACTTTTCGTCTTGAAAGCAATCAAAATCATATCTATTTCTGTAATTTATCTTCCATTCTCTCAAATGAGACCAAAAAAACGAGAATGCAACCATAAAAACCATTCGAAATTACCACTAAGGGGTGGCTAATTGCTGAGAAGTGAACTCCATTATTTATGCTTAGATTTCTTTCATTTTTAGTGTACATTAAGAAGCATCTTTCCATCATACATTGCCCAAGTTTCAATAAGATAGTCCAACAAACAAATGAGATACAATTCCCGAGATAAAGAGCAAGAGCCCCTCACCAGTGTCAAGGAACCTGTCTTGAGGTCTGCTCGCGTATGGAAGCAAAAAATCGACCCATCGACTGCTCGTATTTGGAAAAACTCGCACGTGGACATGCTCGCAAGTAGAGGTTCCACTGTATTTTAAAATATTTGTTAGTATTACTACTAATGTTATTGCCAAATACTGTGTCCTGGGTGGCTCAGGATCAACTGAAGTTTCAGATCTATCATTCAGTGGCCATTGGCAGCCACAACACTGTATTACTACTTGCATTACTACTAAATTCAGTGCCCTGGGTGGTCTACAGTGAACTTGCCTCATTGAGGAGTTCTATAACTCCTTCCAATCTGCCCCACCCCCCCAAAAAAAGAAAAAAAGCGAGAGCATGCAAAAGTGTAAGTAAAATAGTGCGAGCTGAGAGAAGAGCAAGCAAGTGTGAGAAGCAACGAGTGTGTATGTACGTACATAAGCCAGAACAAGCTCGCATGCATACAAGTGAAAGATGGGGAGGGAGGTATAGCTTACTAAAATCTTTACAGATGAAGGCAACCATAAGGTATCACATGTCATCTCTCCCAATATATTGTCAAACACTAAACCTGTCCTTGGCTGTCGCCTTACCTCCTCCTGCTTTGACTTGACTGGGCTTATTTGTCTTGTATCATCTGCTATTTTATAATGCTCCAGAATAAACTGAAATGTCTTCCAGTTCTCATGTCTTATTGTTGTGTATCTCAATTCATATCAGAATATGTCTCCACTACTAATAATTCCTCTGTATCTTGCTAATTCTGTTTCATCCACGTTTTTCCCAGTTACATTTATTAATCCTTCCAGCTTATGGAAGCATTTTCACGTGTTGTAATCCTTACTCCAAAGATGTTTTGGCAACTGTGATGTGCAGTACTTAAGTGTAAATCAAAGGATTTTACTATATGTATTTACATTTTCAGGTTACTCCTCGATTTTCCAAGAAAGTCAATAGAAGCCACTTACTGTACCGCCGTCAACAGGCTGCTACTGAGAATGGTGGGAACATCGTTGATACTTTGCGGGACCTTGAGAGAAAGTGTGTTCAAGAAACTGAAGCATGTCTTCAGAGCTTTGATCCAGAGAGGTTGTCAGAGATGGATGACTTGTTTAAAGATTGTGTTGATTCTGAGCTCAAGTTTTATAAGTAAGAATTTTTTTTTAACAATGGCAGCTTCACTATTACTAAGTCATTATGCTACTGATTATGAATTTTATGTACTGGTTTAATTTTTGTTTTTCTTTCCTGTTTCATGGGAGAAAAACAGGTAATATTTTTCCAGTGTGTTTCATTCATATTTTACTAATTACAATATTCCTGAGGCCCTGTTGGCCAATAAAAGAAGGGTGAATAATATGCAAGTTAAAAGGTAGTAATGCAGTTTTGAAATATTACCTAGTGGATGTAAATTTTTTGGCAGTTGTGATCAGGACTATTGCTTTACTTATAGGACATGAGTATTGACTCATAATGATGGATTTAACTCCATAGCCTCATGATGAGTTCTTCCAGCAGATTCCATAACATATGGATTAAACAATAAATTAGTAAACTTTTTTTTATACTACCATAATTTAGTATACATAGTCACTGTTAGAAAAGTACCTCATCAAGAATTAAAATGTCTAATATAAATTAGTAAAATTTATATATCACAATTAGTCTTATACAGGTATTTTTTAAATTGTAGTTATTCATGAGAAAGATTGCACTAAGTGTACATGCTGCACACTAAAGTGGACATAATTTTTATTCAGTATTTAAAAAAAAAATTTTTTTTTCACTTTTACAAATTATTTTTATTCATAAATTTGAAGAAAGTTAAACATAAAGCATGTTTTATTAAAAAATCTAGAGGAATTGTAGTTTACTTTTCATTGCAGTATCATGTACTGTACTGTAAAGAATAATTCACAACCATCCCACAGTTAGGAGGCGAAACTTGAGACAGTGTTTTGCTCCGTCTTAACATTATCAAGTCACACTCGATGACAGTCATGATAATGGTCCAGGACGGAATGAAGGATCATCTGAAGTTAACACCTAAGTATGAGTTAGTGTACTGTACTGTGCATTCTTTAAATTTATTCCGGCGCTATTTGAACCATGTGGGCTTAGCTTTTTGAATATATTGTGAAGACTTGAATGATCGTTTATACGTAACTTTCAGAATATACTAATTTTTTTTCTCCTAGGAATTTTTATCTAGCCTTGGTAAATATGTCAGCTGAAAATAATTGTTTTTGGGTGCTTCTTTGCCTTACAATACAGTATTTCAGGAAAATGGCATCGACACTATCTGATGATATATTAAAAGTATCATTACATTGGTGATTTCATAACAATGCTCTGCGATAATCATATAATCTTTTCAAAGCAAAGACATGCAATATGATGTCTCGAGTATTTTAGCAATATTTTCTTTGATATTTAAGATGAATAAGTATTTGCCTGTGGCATCAAGAATTTCATAGGCAATGATGTATTTTAATTCCAGTCTAATACTGTTACTTCTGATAATTGTAATCTATTTAGGCTTTAATTATTTTTTGTAATATTCTACCAATATTTTGTAGGATGAATATCATAAATGTCTGTATAGCTTATTTACATGTTTATCACATTATGTCATACTCTACATTGCTGGAGTTTTACATGAATTTTCTGTATACCAGTTTGTAGGATCTACATATTTTCTATATTTTAATTATATTTTCTTTACTATTTCTTCCCTTTCATGGATTTTTTTTTTTTTGGGGGGGGGGGGGGGGATGATGCTACTATAAAGTGGACTACTGTTGATGGATGAAATTAGGAATCTTACATAACACTATCAGATGCAATATCAGGACATTTATAGATGTAAGCAATGAAACCTAGTAATAGCATATATGAGGTGGCTAATCCGTAACTCACACTTATGACATAAAAAAGATGTTACAAAAAATGTTAGAAGCTGCATCAGTTAGTTGGCAACCTGTTCTCAAAGTAGAGTTCTTTTTCACACACTTTACAGCAAATTGGTTTCTGCACTCTAAAGAGCATCAAAAATTATGTACTGTACTGTATTGTTTATCCTTTAAATAAAGATAGGTGAACAAAGCCAAAATTAATCTATACGTGCATGTAGCCACCAATAATGAAATAAATGAGAGGCTTATGTCTGCCAGCTCAGGATACATCAGTGCTGCTTGCAGTGTCAGTAATCACATACACTAAGTTGGATGGGATGTAGTTGGATATAGCTTGGTATGAGCATTTTTTCACATTTTTATGGTAGACCAATGAAGGTTTTGGTGATGTTACCTCGAGATAGTTTCATCTTTTGTACTGGAATGTAAATTTGCCTTATACTTTTCTTTCACTAAATATATATTATATAATTAATATTTTGAAAAATGAAAACATTTTTTAAATGGGAGGTAGCTGTCATAAGAGCATTCATTGAGAGTTTCAGATTCTTGAAAGTCTTGCAGAATCTCACACCTCTTAGTGCCATTTGCTTGATTGCACTTTACTTGCCCAATTGTATCTTTTACTCCGTTTCATACCATACAGTGACTTATAATGGAGAATTACAAGAAACCAGAGCCTGTAGTGCTATATACACTTTCAGGAATTCAGCTGATGAGCATGGTCAAGATAATTTATTGTACTAATCTTTTTATTTAGTTCAAATCCTGACTGGTGTGTTTGGAGTGAGACTGTCATAAATGAAAGTGAATGCTTTTAAGTCATTTCTCTGAATTTATTTATGGTGTGATTTTCTTAGATCTAAAGAAACCAAATAACCAGATTTGTTTTAAAATTGGCTGTTCAGTAAGGCTCAGACACTACAACATTCTTCGATATATTATCCTTAGTGTAACATAGTGAATATAATTTAGAAGGTAGAAATCTTAAGCCATCAGTTTTATAATTGTATTGGAAATATAAGTAATAAAACAAATCAGTGCTTGAAGTTCTAGTCTTTTGAAGTCTTCAGTAATGGGTGTGTTAATATATAGGTTAATAATTTTCACCTGCATGATGAAATCACTCAATGATCAGGCATATACTCTATCCATTAACATTTAAGTGCTTACAGTACTTGCAGAGAGGGAGTAATTATTTTTAAAATTGAATGAGTGGAATTCTCTCTCTAATGACCAAAATTGATTTAAGGTATATTAGTCATTATAGAGAATACAAGGGTGGCTTTCTGGCTTACCTCAAATTACTCTTAGTATGGTCTCTGCTGCATGTAATCAATTGATCTTGCTTGAAAATTTTTGTAGTGTTGGAGAAGGCTAGAGTTCAATTGCTGTATTACTAACGGTGAATCATAAGTTGGTTCTTAGCATTTGTTATAAAACCTAGTTCTGTCATGCATTGGTTTAGTTCGTGTACTGTACATTTTGTTATTCACCTTGTCCAAAGAAATCCACTAAAAGTTGATCAACAGATATGCTAAGACCCAACTTGGTTAAGCACAGCTCATTACCATTTATTTCTTTAAATGGCCATAAGCCGCTTATTACTTTCTGAAATTTGAGGTTCTCCTGCCAGGTTTTATGTAATTTTCTTTTTTATAAAACTTACCACAGTTGAAATGAGGGACTTATCATTTTATTTTAGAACTCTTTTACTATAGAACAGATGTAAAAAGAATTCTTCCAAATTTTATTTGGACTTACCAGTTTTGTAGATGCTTTTTGAACTGAAATTATTTTCCAAATCTGAGAGATTTTTGAATACTGTAATAGAGCTCAAATAAGAAAAATTTGAGTATTCTTTTACAATAAAATCTAATAAAGGATGCTTGGTAGGTGAACCCTTTTATTTTTAAGTACAGTATTTTTAAGCATGGTATTGAATTCTAAGTTATTAAACAAATTGTTTGATCCTCAAAATTTAGCACTAAATCCCTATGCACTACTGCTGTCAAGGACATGTCCAGTTCCCAAAACTGTAGTAGGAGTCACCACTTCACTACCTATCCTTAATAAAAGTCTGCAAATTCTAAATGAGCTTGTATTATCCTGAACAGTAATTACTTTTTTAGGTGGAATTTGTGTTTCAGAATTTGGCTTCCCTGTTGACCAGTCTTGGGGTCTCATTTCAGTACTAATTAACACAAGCTGTTGTACCTGTACACCATTTACGTAATTTTTGTCTGTGAGAGTGCTACACGACCCTTGTAGGTTTAGCACTTTTTTTTTTTTTTTCAACAAGTCGGTCGTCTCCCACTGAGGCAGGGTGACCCAAAAAAAAGAAAGAAAATCCCCAAAAAGAAAATACTTTCATCATTCAACACTTTCACCACACTCACACATTATCACTGCTTTTGCAGAGGTGCTCAGAATACAACAGTTTAGAAGCATATACGTATAGAGATACACAACATATCCCTCCAAACTGCAAATTTGCGAGAGCTCTCTCGTTCCAAGACTAAATGGGGAATTATTAGATTTAGGAGAAGTGCTAAACTCATAGGGGTTGTAAAGGACCTTGGGACTGGGAGGTAATCAGGTTTGATCCAAGGAAGAAAATCCAATTCCTTGGATGAAGAGCCCCATCACCAGCATCAAGAAACCTTCCTTGAGGGGAGCCAGGGAAATTAATTACAGACCTATTATTCCAGTAATCTTATGTTTAAATCCTGAGGAAGCCTGTTCTTGTACATTACATAGTGTATCCCTTTAAGGATGTGAATTGATGCTGAAGGCAGGTTTTCTAGAATTTGAGCTGCCCTCTCCATGGATTAAGCCTCATTCCCCAGGCACTGTGTGACCACTATGTGTCGAGCATTTATCTATGATTATAATAGTAATAATTTAACCCTTTATCGGGCAGGCTCTAAAATCAATGGGATCTTGGCTGGTAACATGCACACCAAGATTAACACAATTTAACATTTGTAGATATCTAACCCCTCAAAGGGAGGTTCCTTGATGCTGGTGAAGGACTCTTGATTTAGAGAATTGGATCTGTGCTCCAATTCCCTGAATTGAGCTTAAATACCTTCTATTACTCCCCCCCCACAGGTGCTGTATAATCCCTACAGGTTTAGCACCCCCCCTTAATTATTATGTAATTTTTTTTTTTTAACAGCCATTGCCCATGAAGGCAGGGTGACCCAAAAAGAAAGGAAAACCCAAAAAGAAAAAAAGCTTTCACCATCACATACACATTCACTGTCTTTGTAGAGGTGACCCCTCAAGGAAGGTTCCTTGATGTTGGTTAGGGAATTGGATCTGTGCTCCAGTTCCCTGAATTAAGCCTGAATGCCTTCCACATCCCCCCCCCAGGCGCTGTATAATCCTCCGGGTTTAGCGCTTCCCCTTGATTATAATAATAATAATAATTTGTAGAGGTGCTCAAATACAACAACTTAGACATCCCTCCAAACTGCCAATATCCCAACCCTCTCCTTTAAAGTGCAGGTATTGTACTTCCCATTTCCAGGACTCGAGTCCGGCTAACCAGTTTCCCTGAATCCCTTCACAAAATATTACCCTGCTCACACTCCAACAGCTCATCAAGTCCCAAAAACCATTTGTCTCCATTCACTAGCACACTCATGCATGCATGAAGGAAGTCCAAGCCCCTCGCCCACAAAACCTCCAACCTTTTCGGGGCTGACCCCAACCCCGCCTTCCCCAACAGATTTATACGCTCTCCAAGTCATTCTGCTTTGTTCCGTTCTCTTTAAATGACCAAACCACCTCAACAGCCCCTCTTCAGCCCTACTAATACTTTTAGTAACTCCATACATCCCAATTTCCACACTACGAATTCTGTGCATAATATTTACACCACACATTGCCCTTAGATGCATCTCCACTGTGTCCGCCTCCTCTCTGCAGCATTTACAACCCATGCTTCACACCCATACAAGAGGGTTTGTACCACTATACTCTCATACATTCCCTTCTTTGCCTCCATATATAACATTCTTTGTCTCCACAGATACCTCAATGCACCACTCACCTTTTTTCCTTCATCAATTCTATGGTTACCCTCAACTTTCATAAGACCCATCCCCTGACAAGTCAACTCCCAAACATCTGAAAATGTTCACTTCTTCCATACTCCCCAATGGAAATAAGTCACTGACTTTTTTGGGATATCCTAGGTTCTTTACACATATGCTGCTATGTATGATAATCCATGTAACTGTATTTGTATATTTTTTATTATCACACTGGCCAATTCTCACCAAGGCAGGGTGGCCCGAAAAAGAAAAACTTTCACCATCATTCACTCCATCACTGTCTTGCCAGAAGGGTGCTTTACACTACAGTTTTTAAACTTCAACATTAACACCCCTCCTTCAGAGTGCAGGCACTGTACTTCCCATCTCCAGGACTCGAGTCCGGCCTGCCGGTTTCCCTGAACCCCTTCATAAATGTTATTTGTATATACCTGAATAAACTTACTATTTCCCTCCCTCCCAATGTGATATCCAATTTTTCTTTATCTAAATTGTTTGATACCCTCATCACCTTACTCTTATCAATGTTCACTTTCAACCTTTACACACCCTCACAAACTCATCCACTAACCTTTGCAACTTTTCTTTAGAATCCCCCAAAAGCACAATATCATCAGCAAAGAGTAACTGAGTCAACTCCCATTTTGTATTTGATTCCCCTTAATATAATCCCACCCCTCTCCCTAACACCCTAGCATTTACTTTTTTTTACAACCCCATCTATAAATATGTTAAACAACCATGGTGACATTAAAAACTCTTTTACAGCATTTAGTAACTTGCTACCTATTCCATACACTTGCAACATCTTCCACATTGCTCCCCTGTCCACTATTATATGCCTTTTCTGAATCCATACATGCATTGGAAACTTCCCTGCCTTTATCTAAATACATACTGCTTCAATGTAAACACTTGATCCACACAACCCCTACCCATTCTAAAGCCTCTTTGCTCATCAGCAGTCCTGCTCTCTGTCTTATCTCTAATTCTTTCAATAATAACCCTACCATACACTTTACCTGGTATTCTCAGTAAACTTATTCCATTATAATTTTTACAATCTCTTTTGTCCCCTTTCTCTTTATTTTATTTTTTTTATTATCACACTGGCCAATTCCCACCAAGGCAGGGTGGCCTGAAAAAGAAAAACTTTCACCATCATTCATTCCATCACTGTCTTGCCAGAAGGGTGCTTTACACTACAGTTTTTAAACTGCAACATTAACACCCCTCCTTCAGAGTGCAGGCACTGTACTTCCCATCTCCAGGACTCAAGTCCGGCCTGCCGGTTTCCCTGAATCCCTTCATAAATGTTACTTTGCTCACACTCCAACAGCACGTCAAGTATTAAAAACCATTTGTCTCCATTCACTCCTATCAAACACGCTCACGCATGCCTGCTGGAAGTCCAAGCCCCTCGCACACAAAACCTCCTTTACCCCCTCCCTCCAACCTTTCCTAGGCCGACCCCTACCCCGCCTTCCTTCCACTACAGACTGATACACTCTTGAAGTCATTCTGTTTTGCTCCATTCTCTCTACATGTCTGAACCACCTCAACAACCCTTCCTCAGCCCTCTGGACAACAGTTTTGGTAATCCCGCACCTCCTCCTAACTTCCAAACTATGAATTCTCTGCATTATATTCACACCACACATTGCCCTCAGACATGACATCTCCACTGCCTCCAGCCTTCTCCTCGCTGCAACATTCATCACCCACGCTTCACACCCATATAAGAGCATTGGTAAAACTATACTCTCATACATTCCCCTCTTTGCCTCCAAGGACAAAGTTCTTTGTCTCCACAGACTCCTAAGTGCACCACTCACTCTTTTTCCCTCATCAATTCTATGATTCACCTCATCTTTCATAGACCCATCCGCTGACACGTCCACTCCCAAATATCTGAATACGTTCACCTCCTCCATACTCTCTCCCTCCAATCTGATATCCAATCTTTCATCACCTAATCTTTTTGTTATCCTCATAACCTTACTCTTTCCTGTATTCACCTTTAATTTTCTTCTTTTGCACACCCTACCAAATTCATCTACCAATCTCTGCAACTTCTCTTCAGAATCTCCCAAGAGCACAGTGTCATCAGCAAAGAGCAGCTGTGACAACTCCCACTTTGTGTGTGATTCTTTATCTTTTAACTCCACGCCTCTTGTCAAGACCCTCGCATTTACTTCTCTTACAACCCCATCTATAAATATATTAAACAACCACGGTGACATCACACATCCTTGTCTAAGGCCTACTTTTACTGGGAAAAATTTCCCTCTTTCCTACATACTCTAACTTGAGCCTCACTATCCTCGTAAAAACTCTTCAATTCTTTCAGTAACCTACCTCCTACACCATACACTTGCAACATCTGCCACATTGCCCCCCTATCCACCCTGTCATACGCCTTTTCCAAATCCATAAATGCCACAAAGACCTCTTTAGCCTTATCTAAATACTGTTCACTTATTTGTTTCACTGTAAACACCTGGTCCACACACCCCCTACCTTTCCTAAAGCCTCCTTGTTCATCTGCTATCCTATTCTCCGTCTTACTCTTAATTCTTTCAATTATAACTCTACCATACACTTTACCAGGTATACTCAACAGACTTATCCCCCTATAATTTTTGCACTCTCTTTTATCCCCTTTGCCTTTATACAAAGGAACTATGCATGCTCTCTGCCAATCCCTAGGTACCTTACCCTCTTCTATACATTTATTAAATAATTGCACCAACCACTCCAAAACTATATCCCCACCTGCTTTTAACATTTCTATCTTTATCCCATCAATCCCGGCTGCCTTACCCCCTTTCATTTTACCTACTGCCTCACGAACTTCCCCCACACTCACAACTGGCTCTTCCTCACTCCTACAAGATGTTATTCCTCCTTGCCCTATACACGAAATCACAGCTTCCCTATCTTCATTAACATTTAACAATTCCTCAAAATATTCCCTCCATCTTCCCAATACCTCTAACTCTCCATTTAATAACTCTCCTCTCCTATTTT